TCATCGCATTATCGTAGTAATCCTTCCCTAGGGGTATGCATTTTAGCGTTATATTTTCCTCCAGAACAATGCAGGCAGCTCCTTGAGGAGGTAAACAATCATCTATTTCAATTCTTAATCAAAAGTGATGTTGGCAGTCACACGTTGCATGTGCAGAGCGATAGGGAGTGACATAAATCTGAAATCGCTTCTCCTTTCCCTAGGGAGGGGAAAGGGTCACAAAGGGTTTCAAGCATCTGTTACAGAATGCCATTACATTCTGCCCCCCACTTATTATCAGCATAAGACATTTTCAGTGTTTCATAGCTTATGATCTGTCTAAAGAAGTGTGAGGAACTGTCAGTTTTTATAAAGTGGCAGGAATTTGGGTCTGTGCGTAATTTTTCAAGCACAAATCCTTTCCACTAACATAAAATCTTGAATAAGCCAAGCTATAAGAGCACCACAAACAAAGAGATCAAGCATTTTTCAGGGCCTGTATAACAGTGATTAACGCCTTATTCTTCATTCCAAGCCATCCAAAATGAATATGATTTAGATGTCTAAAACCAATGCCCAGCGAAGCTGCAGTTTTGCCAGCCCGTTTTCAGAGAATTAGCAGCATTAGTCTGTTTCAGCTGGAGATGGGCATGAACTGTCGATTCAGCGATTTGTGACAATTTGTGTTTCAGCTTAACAGGTGTTTGGTACTGCCCAGCCCCACCTCCTATATATACTGTATATTGGGGCACATTTAAGACTATCATATTCATTTTGGCATGAGTGTTAAATTGTGGACTACAATTCATTTAGTTAGGTACATGGAGCACAATATCCAGACCACAAGTTTACAGTATATATAGTGTATATGGCAGTGGGTTTGAATATGGAGATGAGAAGGTAGGGATGAAACTGTTGCGAAGTTTTGAATTTCTGGTAGTATTCCTTTTGCTACACAGTGGAATTACAGCAAGGGTCTCAAACATGAGGCCCGGGGGCCATTTGCGGCCCCCCAGATGATAGTTTGTGGCCCTCGCCTTGCCTGCCCCCCCAAAGCACCCACACATCCTCTGCTGTCAAGAGTAAAAAAAAAGCCTTGCCTCGCTCACCGGCTCTCTCCCAAGACAGCACCTCTTGCACCCTCCATCCAGAACTGCAGCCTGCCAGCCAGCCCACCTGTCTGCTGGCTAAGGAAACTCCTGGGCGGCTTCCTCGGGCTCTTGCTCCGCTTGGCGGAAAATCTGATGCGGCCCAGCCTCACCCAGACTCTGCCTCCAGCGGCCCCCAGGTAAATTGAGTTTAAAACCCCTGAATTATAGAGATTCACAAAGGAGAAAATCTACAAGTTCCTCAGTTAGTCCACCCTTTTCTCATTAACTGGCACTTAAAGTCTCAATAACTCATTCTGAGACATTTGCAGGAGAAAGCATAAAATTCATTTCTTTACTTACAGTTGCTTGAAAATGCACACTTGTGTATGCTGCTTTGTTTACTGGACACATAGCAATCCACTGAACAGATCAACAGCAAACCAACAAATGCCACCAACCGAGGAAAGAGAGGGAAAAAGTACATTCACCAGAGAAGTGGGGCTCTCTTCAAATTCAAAGACTGGAAGAAACAATTGGTTAATGCTGGATAGATAGATAATCACCTCAGCGAAGAAAAGTCCCTCCCAGTCACACAAACTACAGGTAGCCTATAAGGTTGAAAACAAAACTCCAGCAGATACCAGATGGAATGACAACCGGATATTAATACCTAGTAATAGGCTTCTAGTGTTACAGTGGTACCTTGTAAACATTCAGCATGTTGATAACATTAGCATCCTGGTAACTGGGAGAGGTAAAGGACATGAGTTCTTAGGGTAGGAGTTTTAGAACTTGAATCTTCAGGAAGAGAAAGTTTTGTTAAGGACAGAACTTTACCAAAAGTAACTTTTTGGTTATCGGCACAAACAGCAGAGAAAGCCAGCTAAATCGTATCTATGAGCCAAAATCCAGTTGCACAACTTGAGGCTGGGTCTCTGATAGCTGCCATAAGGCTGAGGCAAAACCACCCAGTTCTTCAGGCTGGGGACAATCAGCTGCACAATTGAATTGCACAGTTCCTTGTTGCTGGGCAGGGCAATCCAGTACAGTATATTTACACCAGCATAACTTTATGATGAAGATAGGAGGGCCTGGAGTGCTCTGGTCCATGGGGTCACGAAGAATTGGACATGACTTAATGACTAAACAACAACAACAACAACAACTTTACATTACACTGGCATGTAGAGGGTTTTGCTTATTGTATGCTAAAAAGCCCATATCTGCATTTAATCCTCTGAAAAATGCACCTTGTAACTCACCTGAGTTGTTTTCCTCATAAATCTCACTTAAGCAGGAATTAGGCTATTTCTGAAAACCAACAAATGAGGAAGAAATAAATGGAAAACTAAAAAGACTATTGTTGCCTTTCACTCTTGGATTAATGGTCTTAGAGGGACCAACGGACTATTGTTGCCTTTCACTCTTCAGAGTCTTGGATTAATGGTCTTAGAGGGACCAACTGTTAAGATCATTCATTAACTTGTACTGAACACTGCAAAGAAAAAGTGTATGTCACATACAACAGGTAAACGGCACTGCTGACAAAGAAAAAAGATTACAGGATTGTGCCATGTGACATACACTATACCGATCATGTCAAAATCTCCTGTTGTTTCAAGATCATCGCTGTCCTGGGAGGGAGGGAGATGGCCAGTGTTTCTTGCCAGTCTCTCAAAAACCCTTTAAACCACACTTGCTCTTGGACTTTGCCTCTGGTCTTTGGTTCTGTGCTTTCCTTTATTAATCCACAGAAGCTCTGATGCCCTTTGGTTCCATTCGGTGAGTGGTGGCATACGGTGGCAGAGGTATTTGTTACCAGCTGGAATTTTGCTTCTGTTTATGGACTCCGGTGTGATCCTTGCACTCGTGAGGAACTGAACATCAGCACTCAGAGGTTTAGCTGCCAGAATGCATGCCCAAGAGAGCGGTCCAGTTTTGAACTATTTGGATAACACAATAAAATGGGCCAGGTAGACCAAAGTCATTTGGTGAGCTTCATGAATGTTGTCAAACAGAAATATTTCATCATACTCTGTTGAAGATTCTGCCGTTTCAGATCTAAACCTTGCAATTTCTGGACTGCTTCCAGATTTACCAAACGTTGCAGACTGGCAAGTGTTTTTATAATCAGCAACAGAACGGCCTCAACTTCAAAGTGCTGGTTTCAGAATTCAACAAATGTCTGGCTGCTTTAAGATCCAACTATGTTGCTGCGGGCATTGTCAGCTGTGACACGGCTGCCAGGTTCACAGGCAGACAGAAGGATCTGCTTTTAATCACCAGGTTTTGTAGTGACGTTCACCATTACATACATTTATTTCTCAGTCCTGGTTGGGCCCACAATGGCTGTTTGAGGATTTTTGGACTACAAACCCCAGAATTCTCCATTCTGGGAGTTCCCCCTCACAGATACCTACCGACAGCTAAATGAGGCTTAGCTGGGGGGGGGGGAGAGGCATAAGCTGGAAGGCTTTGTGCTCTAGCCCAGGCCTAGCTCTGTCTAGCTTCTTGCTAAAAGAAGCTTCCCAGATACCAGTGGCATAATTCCTTTCGGAACAGGAAGCTAAGTGGAGCTAGGCCTATGCTAGGTATATGAAACCATCCACTTAAGCCGGACAGGTGTCTTGTTAATTGTAACTCCCAGAATGGAGAATCCTGGGGTTTGTAGTCCAAAAAGAAACAAATGGTACATCCCTAGCCATCACAACTCAGAAAGAGTTCTGCTTTCCTCAGACAACGTCCTGGGGAGGCCATCTTTGTAATGTTCTATGACACACTGCAGAAATTCTTTTTGGGTATTTGGAGTCAAGCACTGAAAGTCTGTCTTGGTGTTTTGATCAAATCTGCAGTATTAATAGGGAGGGAGATGCAAACTTCATTACACTTGAAGAAAGTTAGACAATGTATTCGCGAAGGCTTTCACAGCCGGGATCTAATGGTTGTTCTGGGTTTTTCGGGCTCTTTGGCCGTGTTCTGAAGGTTGTTCTTCCTGACGTTTCACCAGTCT